GGCGGGGGCGGGGGGGTAGGGGGCGGGGGGTAGGGGTGACCGCTCTTTCCCAGTTCTGAGCGCCCGAGCGCAGAGAAGGAAGGGTAGCCGACTCTGTGAGCCCATAAAGGTCTTAAAAACGTTCCTTAGTCCAGAAATATAGTTTCCTTGAACTAAGCATTAGGAGGGAAGAAACATTGGGATGGGTGAGGTGATTGAAGAATCAATTCTCGGACGATCAGGACTTTTTGCACGAGAAAATCATCTCACCCTGTGCTCCTCTCCTTCTGAGGCTCAGATAAGAACTATGTTCTTTTGACTATGAACCTTGTTTCTAATTACTGATACGGTCAGCTAGCCCTCCTCCTCTGCCCTACAGCGCTTAGTTAGATGCGGTGAAGACGCCTTTCCCCTTCCTCTCCCCCCACTCAAATTACATCTTCACCGTGGCAATATCTTCAGTACAAAGGATTCATGCTCTATCACAGGAGTTATAACCACCCACATAACCATCCCACGATTTCTGTGCCCAACTAAGGCAATCAGACACCAGATTGGCACCTAATTTCCGGAGCACTTTGGGGACTTTGGGTTTGTACCCTGTCACTTTTTCTGAGACATTTTTATTCAACCCAACATGCACCACATTCATCTTCAACAATCTTCAATAGTGCAGAGGATTTTATAGCTGGTTGTCGATACGTCTTCAGTTGAACTCCATTGTCTTCCGGCCCAGAAAAAAAAAGATTTGATGTTGACTTTATGTTTACGTCCATTAGCGCGTGGTTTTTCTGTGGGAAATGGCCTACGGAGCAGTAGATAAAGTGATTTGTGTGCAGGTTTAGACTATGTGGCCGATGAGGACGAGGTATTATCCGCTAAGCAGTAGAAAGGATTACCATGGGAAAAGCAATCCAGGGCTTGCTGTTCTTTCATTAGGGTCAAGCGGTTAAGTTGGGCATGGTAGACCTTGTGGACCAATAGTTGTAGCATTGCTAGGTAGGAGCTCCCAGTGAACTACTCCTTCTGCATCCTATCAGCACACAGAAGATCTCTCTAGTATGGCTTTCGGCTCTGGCTGTCGTAACTCCAGGATTAGAGGGGCTGAATTTCTGTCGTTTGCGGGAGCGGTTGGAGGTGCCACCCACTAAAATCATTGCCATAATCCATGTTGGATAGCCGGTTGAAAGTACCATTAGAAGTCAAAAGGAACTTGGCTGTGAGAAATCATGGTGAGGGTGTTGCCGGAGTGGAAGGGTGAGAGTGGATGTTCTTCATGAGGAAAGACGTCATTCTTAGAGCCGACTGCACCACTCGTTCACCGCTGCTTGTTAGAATGTGCCCTCACCCGTAATCTGATTAATTTTCCCAACAGCCTCGGTTCCAAATAATCTTAGGGGGTAATTCTCAGGAATATGG